GAAGGTTGAGTCTGATCGATTCGTTATTTGGGCATGGAACTGCTCTATACAACCTTGCCAACCAAAGATTCAAAAGTTTCATAACATTAATGTTACTGCTTTTAAAAGCTGTGCAGCTTTAGTTTTAGCTTTCTTATATAATTAATGTATAAAAATTAAAACGCTTTGCGAAGTTATTACTTTTTTAAATAAGAGCAATTTTTCCCAAATTTACAATCCTTGTAGATACTTTTGAGACCCAGCATTTGTCAGTTTGAAACAATTATTTCCCATTTTGAACTTCGGCTTAATTTTTGGTTCTTGAAGCATACTACTATAACTTATAGTTTACCTATAAGTAATAGAGTGGATCATATTATCGATTTTGCTCCACACAGCGCTATCGATTCTAAATGAAGTCTCAACAATGCTCCCAAAATGTGTGCTCATTTGGCAATCTCAGAGTGTACGGGCCCTTTAAAGTTTATAAGGGAATTAGTTCGGTAACTGATTTTTTTTGTTAGCCCCGTCCACAAAATGCTTTAAGGGTAAGCTTGCTATTTGAATGTATGAACAGGAACAGGATCGGTTATCGAATTTATCACATATTTGAAGGGAAGATAGTTACTTGTTCTGCAATTAAATACAGGGATGATTTTGAAATATGGTTTTCTGATCAAGAGTCACAAAAAAGACATTTAATCAATTATGTCTCAATCAGCGAATCCAAACACATAAAGCAACCAACGATACAGACAAAACGGTTGCTACGACTACCATGACAAACTCGCTCTGTAACATAGCTCGATCCGAGTGGTAGAAGGATAATGATATATTGCTTGCCTGCTTTGTTGCAATATACCCGGATGAGGACAAAGCTTGATATGAATCGAGAAAAGACATAACAAAAAAATTCCCATTAACACATGTGTATTATCTTCGGGTTTACTTCGTGAAGCAGCTTGCCAACAATTTTCTCGTTTCCTTCTACCGCCCCGAGTGAGGGCTGCTTGTCATGAAAAAGAACGAAGAAGATTATATCATTATTGCTTTCCACTTCTGACATAGTGTTATTATTCGGTTCGTTGATCGCTTGTCATTTTGTCATTTGGAGATATTTTTGATTTCTTGGTCTCAATAGCAAAATAAGATTTGTTCCATTCTGCATCCTACTTTTCATTGATGTGAAATTATGATGACAAAAGCCTTCCGCTACTCGTTTTCACGAGCAGTAATCTGATCATACAGAAGTCGTGCAGATCTGGAAATTTCACTCGGTGCTTACTTCTCTGCAGTTATTCACTGAGTTGTATTTTTAGCATCTCACATATAAAAGATCACCATTTGTGTCATTAAACATACGTTTCATTATTGAACAATCTTTAAAATTAAATTGTCATTAAACTGTTATATTTATTTTTTGAGACTTCCGTATTATGTTCTCTACTTTTTTTTAATTGTTCATTTATCAACTTCAGATAACCCATCCTATCATACTTTGTTTATATACTTATCTATAGCTTATTAAACCTGTTTCCAACATTTAATGTTCCTTCTACGCGTTGTTCTTATTGCGTCTTATTTTTAAATAAATGTTATACGACATATTTGTCTTCATTTCCTATTTTTGTTTGTTTATCGCGCATGGGCCGTTTTGGCACTTTTCAAGGGATTCGATTAAATCATTCCTCAAAAACATCAGCCACTTCAAATTTCTGAAATCACTTGCAAAATCTAACACTCAACCAAAACTTGAGCACCCCTAGGAGAAGTCCGCAAAATTCAAATCCCGCGTACGAATTCTTTTATTTTTATAATGATGATGTAAATTTTCAACGCACTCCGATTGGGACACCTTCGTCAGCACGACATCACCACCGCTGCTGGTAGGATGTCTGGCTTGGCTGATTTGCTGGGGTGGCGGTACCCCGCTGCTAGGTGTCAGTGGCGAAAACAAGCCTTCAACTTTCCGAGATAATTAATCGTGCAGAAATTCGGAGAGAAAAAGCAAACGCCGAAAAAAAAATCAACACTGCTCAGTAATAAATTCAAGAGAACCCTCAATACCGGAATGCCTATAACATGAGAGTAGTGCATACAAACGATCATAAAAAATATATATGATTCGATCGCCATTCGAAGGAGCTGCGGTAATCTTTACTAATTTTCTCCTCAATGGCTTGAAAGGGCTTCGAGGTTAAAACGTTTAACTCTCGTCCGCTCCGCCGCCGGTTCTCTTCTCTGTGGTACGATTTTGCGGTGGTTCCACGTACGAATCGTCCCCCCTAAGCGTGGCTGATGGCGTTACCCAGTCTACGCCATTCACCCTCCATCTGCAGCTCTAGTGCGCGCGATGGAAGTCCATAATCCGAGGATTAAAATATCAATTTCAAAAAGTGACGCACTCTGAGTAGATATCGGAAAATATAAACACATAAGCAGTTTCGCTCAACCGATGATAAAGAAGAATGGGCCAGGCTTGATGGGATTTTCGAGAGTGTTATTTTAAGCGACATTTGCCTACGTCTCGTTGATACCGCAAAATTTGGGAACCATTTTTAAAGGCACAAGTAGATTTTAACAAAGTGATTGCACGAGTCGCAAAAAGTCCTTTATCTGACAGGAGCAATTAAGATGACGACAACACCGGTAAGCGAATGGATTTCGACTGGAATCAAGGATGGATAGAATAGTTTAGGGACTGTGGTGAATGGATGGCGGAGCAGTAAAACCGACAAAAGACAATTACAGATACTGGCGACAGGTGTCGGAGCACCATCATCTCAAATCGAATACCGGAAACTGAGTACAGTTGAATTGTGTTTCTGGATTAATTGCGAAACTGACCTTGGAAATTGTAATCTACTCCTCGCTGTTATGAGAACAATCAAAACAACTTTCGGAGCTGGGCGTTTTGAAGGGGATAATGCTGGTTTCTGCGAAGCTTGGTGATGCATCTTGCACTATTATACATTTTGGTTCTGGTAATACATATTTAGAAGCCCATTAGATTTGAAATATATTCCGAAAACAGAACTCTTCGATGCCGTCCTTTCACCATTGCAAGATCGAACACCCAGGTTATAATTCGGACTACACTGTGACTGGCAGCGTGTGCAACAGATGGCGATAGCACTCTAACGACAAACTCCATAATAGTTTACACTATGGCGCCAACGGGTGTGCCTTTGCCAAGTACTAAATGTTTAATTAATCCGTGGAGTGCATAAATGATGAACTTAACGAGTATAACGACTGAGAAACAATCATGACAAAAATTGTAACATGACGAACCAAAACGTCGGGCAAAGATTTCATTCTCCTCTGCAACTGCTCAGCCAAGTTTGTCTCTCATTCTTTGATCGCTGGCTGCGTGATCATTGATAGAGATAATTTACCTAATAGTTCGTTTTCCAGATTTTCCATACAAAGGACATAGGAAGTAGTTCGATTAGATGCCTGCAAATTAATAAAACTCCATAAAAAGTGTGTTCAGAATAACCAGTCAAGCAATCGTAACAGTAAATTATACATTCAAAAGTGTTTGATTATTTCACTTTACAGCTTCAAATAAAATTAATTGACATAAGGTTGAGCAATATTCTTATGAATTGCAGGAATCACTTGAACTAATCAACATTCAGTTAAAGCTGGGAAACCGAAGTTACAAAGCAATCAAATTGCTTGATAGCGTTGAATGTCGATATTATTATGACATAAAACGGAATTAAAATGCAATAAGAATTCAAACGAATTCGCAAACCACTGTATTACACTGAAATCGATCGTTAAGAAACCATCACAACCGACTCAGGAGGAAGCCTATTCCGTGGGATTAAATAATCAAATATCCAAAAAAGGTCCCGTCGTAAATTTTAATAACTAAGTCATCGCTGAGAATCTCATTAAACATCACCTATGCCATCGGCGCCTTCAATTAGTGGTAAACCTACTTTTTAATCCTACACCGTTCCTCAAAAATGGGACCGCTGCCCAGAATACTGATTGAGACGTTGGTACGTACGCACGCCTTGTTGTACGTGCCTTTGTCTGGTTCTCATCGGTCCCATAACTCTGCACCCTGGAATTGATCCTGACTGTCAACCAATCATTCTGTAGTTATTTGAAGTCCCCTCACAAATCGAAACTATGTATAACGACCCTACCGACGGCGACGACGCAACCGCCACTGTCAGTCTAGTCGTAAAACATCCCAAATAAGAACGGCGGTGCGGGTACCATATTCCCGTACAATAATTTCAAATATCGATTGGCTATAAAATCGGGCAACAATCAAACGGGTTCGATTAGTTTTGAGAATGATGCCGGCAGAACTATATCCATAATAGTTGAACCAGAAGTCCAGAATGGATACGATGGGATGGACACCTTCTGGTGCGAGCGAACGCGTGTGTATCTGCTGTCTCAATAGTGGAATGATGGCAATAAAACTAGCCTTTTGACGACGTGATGACAATACGGAGGATGCTTTTTGGTACGATTTTTTCTACTTCTGTTGATGACATGAATTGAACACAGAAGCACGCACGCGATTGGATCTGAACATCAGCAGAAATAGACGCACCGTTGCGTGTGCATGAGTTGATGTTCGTGTTTTCTTCAATGGAAATTAATTACTTGCTTTGAGATAAATTTATTCAAGCATAATTATCATAGGAAAGCATTCAATCACACAACTCAACATAATTGTTGATGCTCTTTCTGAACTAGTTGTTTTGTTGTTAGCAGAAATCTTAGTTAGTCAAATGTTTGGTTTCAGTACTGTCTCACCAACAAGTCTGCTGCAAATTGATGCTAGGAATAAAACTTTGCTAGCCATCTATTTTGCAACATGCGTTTTCTTCGAAGCTGTTGACTCCCCCTTCCATTCATGTTGTCTAACACAAGACCATGCTTCGTTTGAAATCTTTGTGTGACGCACGACATTGAAATGCGCAAAAATTCCAATCGCCAATGGTTTAACACCAATTTTCAACACATTATTTATTTACCCTTTCCAGGATCTTCGAGCGCCACACATCGCCGTTGAAGTGTACAGTGCAGACGCAAATCATAAACCAGTTAACAACGACGATCACCATGTGGTGGATTGCGCCGGACTGATCATTTTGGACCACCCCATTAAGTGAGCCACTGCCTGCAATTGTGTGAACTCGACAATAAACCTCCTCAACCCCCCGCCCCGCCACTCAAATAAGCCTCATCGAAACGAAAGCAGAACACTGGCCACGAGCCGCTCAATCCTTGATATCTCCCATGTGTGCAGTGAAAACAAAACAACGAAGAATAATTAGTGTGACACACATCAGAACAACTACACGGATGGTTCGTGCAACAACTGAAGAAGAACAAGCCCAAAAAAAAATATTCACATGTGCCTGTTTGTTTTGCTTAATTGTTATTTGTCGTCTCCCAGCGATTCTTGATTTTGAGTGCTTTACATTTTTTCGCTCTGGTGTTTAATTAAGCATTATCGTTCTATATTTGAGACGAGTTAACGGAAAACAAAAACCCCTTGACTAAGAAATATAAACACCGATAGTACGCGTCGAAAAGCCAGAAGGAAGAAATCTTTTTAATTTTTTCGTTATAAAAAAAAATCTTCACGATAGTGCAGGTGCAGTGCAGTGACACTTTGTAAAAAGTTTCACAGGAACGCAGTGAACAGTTGGTTGAATAGTTCATGTAACATCAAACGGCTAAGTGAGATCATAGTGCGGACTTTCACAGCAATCGTGAGAAACTCCATGCAGGGAATCAACCATTGAAGGTGAGTACAAAATCTGCAATATACCTTCAAATGAATCGCTAAACATACAAAGATGAGGATACATTCAAAATGGTATTCTATCTTATCTTATTCTTACAAATAAAGTTGAAGCTACACGTTATTCAACTTTGACGCAAATGGCAAAGCATAAACTCAATCTAGGAAGTGAATGGTCTCAAAAAAAGAGTGACATTAGTGATCAAATAATTTGAAAAGTGGCTAGTGATTAAACGAGAATATGCAAAATGATAAAGCTAGATAGCTAGTAGCTATTTGGAGGAAGCATGTTTGAGAGGTTCATTAACATTTTAGCACCCATATTTTAAAATCATTTCCTTTACCTTCTTGACTTATAACCTTGGAGTGCCCCAGGGTAGTGTATTAGGGCCCCTTTTATTTACTATGTATATTAACGACTTGCGACTGTGTTATTCATTGCAGCTAAAGATTTAGAAGTTGCCGTCTCATACTTGAACAAATATTTGCGATCTCTAAGAAGATGGTTGAAGTGTAAGCAGTTGAATTTGAATGCAACTAATACTAAATGCAGGGTAATTTCACGGAATCGAGTAAATGATAACGTCTCTGTTGAAATTGATGATGAGACTATTGATCACGATCGGGAGATTAAATATCTTGGCGTGATTAATGAGCATGATCATGAACATGATTAACAGCCCACGGTTGCTACTCTGTTATTGCCAGATCAGCTGTAATTACACAGAGAACCAATAGACGAGGCTTGGGACTAACAATGATCCTCAATGTGTAAAAACTGGTGATCTAAAACTAGGCAATACCAGCGCCGGCCGCGCCCGAACGCAAATCAAGAAAGGAATGGGTAGGAATGTGTTGACGTGACACTCACTTTGATAGAAGCCGAGTTGGATAAAAGTGTTGCCTCGTTTTTTGTAAACGATAACCTGAATTGATGTCCTAACGATCATATATCGCGAATAAGCTTGGGATTGAACCCATGGTCTTTTGCTCAGTAAGCAAAAACGTTTGCCACTAGGCAAACGACCTCCCTTTTATTCGTCGAGTCGTTAACACATAACGATTGACGATTGACGAATCTTGAATGTGGATAGGCCTGAGATTAAACTCATGATGTTCTGCTCAGTAAACAAAAGCGGTCGCTCTAAGGCCACCCCTCATATAACATCATATCGTTACTCGAGTTGTTGTAACCATTCAAACCCGGGACCGACGAAGACGGCAACGAATTTTTGTAAAATACACGATAAACAAACGAATTGACGATACATTTCTTTAATATTTATGAATGGACCTGGGAGCGCTTACTTTCCCAGATCATCTTTCGCCGTTTATCGCCGATAGCAAGCAAATTTGTGGGAAGTTATCAAGCCGGTTTTGTGGACGGGCGATCGACAACGGACCAAATATTTACGTTGCGGCAGATCCTCCAAAAGTGTCGTGAATATCAAGTCCCTACGCACTACCTATTCATCGATTTCAAGGCTGCTTATGATACTATTGACCGTGAAGAGCTATGGAAGATTATGGACGAGAACAGTTTTCCCGGGAAGCTGACCAGGATGATCAGGGCTACGATGGATGGTGTACAGTGCTGCGTGAAGATATCGGGTGCGTTATCGGACTCGTTTGAAACTCGCAAAGGACTTCGACAAGGCGATGGTCTTGTCTGCCTCTTGTTCAACATTGCGCTAGAAGGTGTTTTGAAACGTGCGGGCTTTAACATGCGGGCACGATCTTCAATAAGTCCAGCCAGTTCATCTGCTCCGCTGACGACGTGGACATTGTCGAAAGAACGTTTCAGGTCGTGGCGGAGCAGTACACCAGACTAAAACGTGATGCAGAGAAGGTTGGATTAAAGGTGAATACGTCGAAGACAAAGTATCTGTTAGCTGGAGGAACCGAGCGGGATAGGGCTCGCATAGGCAGAAGCGTGATAATCGACGGGGATGAGTTCGAGGTGGTGGATGAATTTGTGTACCTCGGATCATTGGTGACGTCGGACTCCACAAGACCCTGAGGTCGGGTAAACTTCACCTGTAAATGTACCATGTACGCTGATAAGACCGGTAGTTCTATACACGGCACGAGACGTGGACGATGCTCGAAGAGGACCTGCAAGCACTGGGTTTTTTCGAACGACATCTTTGGTGGGGTATGTGAGAACGATGTATGGAGGGACACGTTTTAAGAATGCCGGACAATAATCCCGCAAAAATAGTGTTTGCCTCGAATCCGGCCGGTACAAGACGAAGAGGAGCACAGCGAGTAAGGTGGTTAGAACAAGTGGAGCAGGATCTTGGAAGTGTGGGACGGTCAATAAATTGGAGGCAAGCAGCCACGGACCGAGTGAAGTGGCGCAACATTGTGATGCAGTTGCAATCCTGAGGGATGTCGGACCAAGATAAGTAAGTAAGTGAACCTGGGAGCGCGTTTTTCTGCTCAGTAAGCAAGCCACTGCAAGCGATGATCTTTCACATTCGAAAACTGAAAGCTACGAAAAGGCACTTAGGCCATCATTAAGTTCCACTTTCACGCGTTGTTTAATGTTTCGATTTGCTTTTATACGCTCGTCAGGCTATTATAACAAACTATGACCGACGTGCCGATTGTTTAAGCCCTGGTTAAACAAGCTATTCAAATGAAATTACGTTCTCGAAAGCAGTCAATAATGTATCCCAAACTGGATAAAGTGTGCGCCCTATTTTTTCTAAACTTTCCGAAGCGTTCCGCCTAGTATCTATCAGTTACTATTTTCTACATTAGTAGCCTGGAATAAATCGTAATGTCTTTTCCTCACAATATTCAACTATGTCCATGCACTCCGACGGTATCGCCTTTCCTATGTTCTAACCTGTTCTAACCAGCGAATCCAAACACATAAAGCAACCAACGATACAGACAAAACGGTTGCTACGACTACCATGATAAACTCGCTCTGTAACATAGCTTGATCGGAGTTGTAGAAGAAAAATGATATATTGCTTGCCTGCTTTGTTGCAATATACATGGACGAGGACATTGCTTGATCTGAATCGAAAAAATACATAACAAAGCAATTCCCATTAACACACATGTATCATGTTCTGCTTTAGTTCGTGAAGCCACTTGTCATGAAAAATGAAGAGGATATCATTATTGCTTTCCACTTCTGACATAGCGTTATCATTCGGTTCGTTGATCGGTTGTCATTTAGTCATTTGGAGATATTCTTGATTTCTTCTAAAACCGTAAAATATATCACGCGCGATCGAAGTTATCCCGCCAGGAAACAAACGGATTGTTTTTAACTGGAACAAGCTCACCAAATACTATCCCCTGGCAGCACCAACACAACCTTAAAACATTTTTGGAAAATTTCAAAAAGAAAGAAAAGGAAAAAAATATACACACCACATAAAACACATAAACAGGGAAAATGGCACTCTTCCTAATGCAAAACTCACCACCATAAACCCTCCATTATTATAACATCATAAACAGAGAAATTATCTGCAAGCATCAACTTTATGAAACAACTTTTCATTTTATTCACGGACGCGTACATAGCATTTTATAAAATTAGATAAGGCACAAGTCTATTTAATACACAACTTGCCGCTGAGTTCATTAAGAAATATCATCAACAACCACTTTTACCTTGCATTATAGTCGATAAGTTCAGAGGTATCCCTTCTTTCAAGAAATTTTAATTCAATTTTTAAATTTAACTCAAATTAACTTTACAATTCAACAGGCATTACTTTTCCGAGTCTTGTCACTATTAACAAGGCATAAAAAGTAACAAGGGCTAAAATGTGTTACTTTGATTACTGAAAAATCCTGTTCCCCTAGTTTGAAATCGTCAGAACTAGGGTTCGGAGATAGATCTAATACCAGTAACGCACCACGAAAAAGTGATCTATTGATGACGAGTTCAACTCTCACATTGATAATGGGACACGTTGGTCATGTTGATTGAAAAACGATTTATCTATTGCCAGTCAAATACAGCTATACAAATTAATTATATCTCCTCATCTAGATATTTGCCCTTCCGTTTTATTTCTGGCCAATTAAACATAAATATCGAGATTACAGCGCTTGCATAATAAAACAATGCGTTTGATTTTGATATGTAATAGATTCACTTCCTAAATTTTGATGCTGGACGCTTTACAATGGTGGTCGGTGAAGCAAAGAATAGTATATTTGACAATTGTGTTCATTTTTAAAGTAGTTAACGGTTTGCTGCCTCAATATGTGTGTGATCGAATTAAAAGAGGAAGTGATTTTCATAGATATAATACTAGAAACACCACATTTCTTGAGTTGTACTTCACAGAATTCATTGTTATAGGTGTAATATATGTTTTCAATTCGATGTTCTTAACCAAATGAACTCAAATTGTAAGTGAATGATCAGTACCTGTTTTAGAATCTTTTGAGCCTTGGTGGAGCAAAATCGATATTTTGAACCACCCTTTAGTATACTATAGTATACTATACATATATTGAACATTATTTTGCTAAATTGAATAAAATGTTCAGCTATAATAGATTGGTTTGTGTCTGTACTAATGAAACTTGAACTCTTCCATCGATTTCCAATGCTCAAAAACTCGAATCTGAAAATCATTCAATTCTTATTGAAATCGACTCCACACAGCTCAAACCCGTTTCCCGCCCACTTTCGGCATATGCTGAGCGATGAGAACAACTTGACCGAAAATCAACTCCAAAGCCATACCCTGGCGCGCCTGCAAGAAGTTTTTGTTTGATGAGATTAAAAGTGAAGTTTTGTCAAAATAAAAAAAAAACCCGCACCTCTCAGCAACCAAGGCTCACACTTTAAAACCACAAAAGCTCACAACTTGAGTGTGTACCCGTTTGAATAACCGACGACGACGACGGGTAGTGATTTGGCAAGAACTCCACCGAAAGACCAGGGATACCTACCTACGGGTGTATTTGAATGAGTGGGTGGACACTGCCAGTTTTCAAGTTTGAAGCTCGGCGAACTT